CATCTGGTATATTTATACCACTCTGAGAAGCAATAATTTAAAATTAACCAGTTCTGTTACTGAATAAAGATAAGAATACCTGTCAATTTGCATGGCTACAATCTTATTCCTTTCTAAATTAATAACACAGGACAATACAGTTATCACAAGCAACATGGATAACTTATTAGGAAACTGTAAAGTTAATAACATGTTAACGCCAAAGTCAAAGATCTGACACATTTTAGTGGGCTATCTTTGCTAGCAGAGCAGCAAACTTTACATTGGCAGCTCAAAAACCTCTTTTTCCTAACACTTCTACAATACTCTTACTTCTGAGAGTTCATGGCAGTTTATGAGAGGTTTATGGTGCCCTGCTTAGGATGGGTTTGTAACATATGCTTAGCTACATCATCATATTCTATAAGACCACCCATTGACTATTTTACATACATACTTTGTTCACTAAAATGTATCAGTTGCACAGTTTTTAATACAGTATGGTTTTGTTCATGAAAGGTTTGTGGGGAGAAAAACTGCTTTAACAGTTATATGTACGTATTTATTAGCATGTTTTTATGTTATACTTCTAAAATCTGGGATCATTACAAAGAATTTTGAAATTAGAAACACAAAATTTTAAAAATCCCGAATATGTTTAGAAAGTAGCTATGTGCATAATAACACTGCTTCATTAACTGCTAAAGATTAAGATATGTTTTAAATTACTGTATATGGATTCTTTTTATCACAGCATACATTACAACTACAATCTAAGTGTAGATTGTGCATAATACACATCTATAAATATGAAAAAGGAATAGAAAACATACTCACCCAATTTCCTTCAGCTCTACTACATTCTGTTAATGGTACAAAAGTTGTCAGTTTTTGTTTTCAAGTTGTTATGATGAGCCAAAAAAAATTCTACTCTTTTGTTATATCTTGCGTCTTTGATAACTTGCAATGCAGTTTGGAAGTGCTAGAGTATACACCAAACTGGCATCTTCAAATGTTTAAATATTTGTATCAAAAGATCTTGCTTACTGCTTAGAAAAATATGCTAGGATTCCAGAAGCAAAGCAGCCACAGTTAATGACTAATCATATCTGTATCATAACTTGTCGACCATAGTCACAATATAGTCTATCATGTGTCAGGAAGTTAGTGGTTTCACACACACACCAAGCTTTTAATATCCTGACCTATTGTTTTCTGGTACTGAAGAAGCTTCCTCATTTTACTGTGGTATAACTTTTATACAGTGGTAAACACTGACATAATTCTTTGGACCCATTTTAGTAGGAAACACCCTTATTCTATGAATTCTAGTGCAAAATAGGGAGTGGTTTTGGACTAGCTCTTGTCCTTGGATGTACAAAAGGATACAACAGTTCCTATTGCCTTTTAAGCAACTCATCCTGATAGGCCAGCTGTAGTGTTTTCTGCACAAGACTGACATTATCTCAGCTACTTTTTTCAGTTACCTGCAGACTACAACAGTGCTGTATATGTGTGACTGCCTTTAAAACAGCTTGGAAACATCAACTGGACTGACTTGGAAACAGACTTTTTTCTGATCCCCGCTGATCGTTATGTACAATTCCAAATCTGTACCAATCAGCTGTTTCCAGGCTCAATTTAAAGTGCTGGTTTTGCAACTGGAGGATCTAGATCAATGGTCTCCAACCTTGGGCCTCCAATGTTCTTGGACTGCAACTCCCAGAAGCCTTCACCCCCACCTCTGCTGGCCAGGATTTCTGGGAGTTGAAGTCCAAGAACATCTGGAGGCCCAAGGTTGGGGACCACTGATCTATAACCTGATATCTGAAGTGCTGTATTTTGCCATACAGACATCCCTGGATCTTAAGATCGGTTTCTGAAGCCCTCCGTGGCATCCTCATCTCAGGTACTGAGGCAAGTCAGCACATGAAATGAGGACTTTTCAGTGACAGCACAACCTGTTATGACTGTTATGTACTACGAAGTTGCTTCCAAATTATGGTGATCCCAATAGGGTTTTTAAAGCATGTGAGATGTTCAAAAAGTGGTTTGCCATTATCACTCCCTAGAGGGTTTCATGGCTGAGCACAGACAGCAGCGCTAGGATATCTTGTCCACCATGAATTGCTATTAATTTCCCCTCTGTTCTTGTTTCGCTTTAGACTAGAGATAGGCAACTTCCCAGGGAATGGCCAAGGACAACTGATCCTCCAAAAGCTGCACTAAGATTATTGTGGAGGCTTTACAGAGGTGGAGAAGAGTACTAGGGCACACCACAGGATACTGCTATCTGTGCTCCAAATCACAGAGCTCTGCTACTATGTAGGTCAGGGTGCTTCCTTCCTGGTTCACAAAAGCAATATGTGTACAGCAGAAGTAAATTTGTCATTACATACAATTCTTCTTACAGGAGCATCCTAGGGTTAAACAAGATGATACACTTAGCATGCATTTTGAAAAGATGCTATCTCACTATTGGAGTTTGCATTGCACCTGATGACTGACTCATCTGAATTTCTAGCATTTACAGTTCTTTGCTTTGTGTTTGTGCACTGACAAGTTAAATTTGAAAATCTGATTGCACATGAAATATACGTGACTTTTAACTATGAGCTTTAGCTTTCTTCTAAGGAGCTCAAGAGTAGGGTCCCTACCCCCATTTTATCCTCATAATCGCACTATGCTACAGCATAGGCTTGGAAATGGTAAGTGGTTGGAGGACAACAGATAAAATTCATATCAGAGTAGGTATTTTAATCCATGTTTCTCCTGTCCACGTCAATGCACTATACTCCACACAATAATCACTTTATAAAAAGCAAACTATTTAAAATAACCGCCATTTATATCAGTTTACAATTACTTTTACCTGTAGATTTTCAGATAAAGTTTAGCCAGAATAAGGGTGTGACTAGACAATCCAATTGAATTGGGCTAAACAGGGTGGCTTTGAGGTGCAGTATGCTATTTGCATCCATATATAAGGATTCAGTAGCTTTGGGTAAGTACCATATTTTTCCGTGTATAAAACAACACTTTTTCCTAAAATGATTAGAGAAAAAATTGAGGGTTGTTTTATATTTGGAAGGCAGCAGCATGAGGCAGAGCCCCATGGCTTTGCAAAAGGCAGGGAAAAGTGGCAGTCATGTTGACAGCTGCTTCTCCCTGCCTTTTGCGAAGCCACGGGGCTTCGCAAAAAGGAAGGTGAAAGCAATGGTCAAAGAGAGCCCTTTGATCCCTGCTTTTCCCTTCCTTTTGCTAAGCTCCCTGGCTTAGCCAAAGGAAGGGAAAAGCAGGGATAAAATCTTCTAATTTGGAGTTAGAAAAGTGGGGGCCATCTTATACACTGGATCGTCTTATAAACGGAAAAATCCGGTAACAACATTGCACCCCCAAAGCAACCCTATTAGCACCCACATGCTCTCCTGTCTTCTACTCTGTGATGAATTCTATAGGTCAGTGGCATGCTGGTGAACTGGCTTGCCACCAAGTGACATAGCACTGGACTCTAATATCTCCCCTAGCATCCTGACAGTGGAGCAGAGGAAAGCCGGGGAAAAAAGTTTCTTTATTAATAAGCAGCATGCCAGATAATTGGGTTAATACCACGTATGGCCAAGTAACTTAGCACTGGGTTTTAAGCAACACCAAAAAAGAGAGATATTCCCCTCCCCATCCTTTTCTATCTCACCCTCTATAGAAAGCTGATTTTTTAAAAAAAAAAACTTTACTTTTTTACTTTAATGATGGGATGCATGGGGATCACTTTGGCTCAATCGAGCAATCAAACTGAAACAGAGTGACCCTACCCCCCCCCCACAATAACCTAGTAACCCTGGCCAGAGACCGAAAAAGGTGTGGGTGGGCATGGATAAGGGCTGAGCCGGTTTAGGATTACCAGAAAACTCATGTAGTCACCGGAAAATAAAGCAAAGCCAAACCACAGGAAAAAAAACACTATCTGATTGTACCCTAAGTCATCTAGTACAGCCTTCTCAGAGTTGCTGTTGTTAGTTGTACCTAAAACCTAGAAAAGACCAGCTTTGTGGTTTGTTTTGCAACATGCTTAATGAATGCTTCATTCCACAAAAATAGTTTTGTGAGTGTGCAGTTGTGGCTGTAATGAGATATAATCAGGTTACTGATCAGGTTGCTTTGAAACAAATATATCAATCCTATTTATGCCAATTTTAATTCTTAAATTTGCAGTTCAGAGAAGAAAAGTCTCTGAATTGAACTAATTGAACTAATATGATTGGAATAAAGCCAGTAAAGTCATACATGAAAAAAATAAATATCTGGAAAACAGAACATTATGAATTCATTTCCCTCCATTAAGTTAAGGTGATTACTGTATTATTAAAAAGATGAGATAAATCACCAATGTGTGACTTTCATAATACTGTATAACTGAAACAGTAACAGTTATAGATGCTATGGCCCAGGGATAAAGTGTTACAAAACAAGCAACTAACTCCTCTAATCTTTCATAGTTCATACTGTAAATATAGGCATATATTATTTTAAATATAAACATAGACTAACTTTTGAAAAATTCATTTGGGAATTAAATAGCAGAGACTTATGTCAGATAATTGCAACAGGGTGTCTTGCTTATTGTGGACTGCCTGCCACTTTTCATACAAATGTCGTCGGGGGGAGCAGTGCAGAAGGAAAGTTCTAAAGGCAACAAATCATTCGAGAAGACGAAAGGCAGATCACAGGATTTAAGGAACCATGTTTGCTGGCCTGGTTTGTGGACTTCCCAGATATCTCTGGCATTGTCATTTTTGAAGAAAGGATGAGGAACTAGAAAAACCTTTGGTTTGATCCAGCCAGGCTTCCTTCTTTACTGTGGGAATTTTCTTCCACACACAAAAGAGTTCAACATGCAAAATATAGAATAGTTAAATTTCTACAGTTTTCATGCAAGCATCAAAGGTGGAGGGGGAAGAAAACTATTTTTGCTCCAAGTGCTGTGAACAGGTATGTTAAAATGGCTCTAATAATTGCCAACTACTGTATACTTGTTAAGGTCATGAACAGCAGCATAAATGAATAAAATTAGTATGCATATGAAGCTGCTTATAGGGGAAGATAAAGTGGCCATCCAAATGTAAATTACAAAACCAGAAATATCATATATTTCAATAGTACAATGATTTCATTCTTCTTATTATTATTATTCTAGGACTGCCTGCTCTCTGTTTTCAAGTGCTTTGTCAATCAATCCTCATTACTAGAACCAGTGGACCATAAAAACGAAAACGATTTCAACAACATGCTTCTCCGCCTCAAGTCTTCTCATAGATATACTAATCTCACTGACACAAATCTGGTATGTCTAATAATGAATTATGTGCTTTCAAGTAGATTCTGATTATGGTGATCCTACTGAGATTTTCTACTCAGAAGTAGTTTGACAGTCTTTCTTTCTGGTGGCACACTGAAACTGAGCAGCTTGCCCAGAGCCACATAGATGGCAGGGTCCATAACTCCCATCAACCGCCCGCTTTGAGTGATTTCAACTAGCCCCCCTTCTGGGAGGCACAGATTTATACTTTCAACACCTAAATGTTACCATCTTTCACTAGATATACAGGTAAATTGCCTCATTGTTAGAGGTTGCACTTAATATGTGATACATTTTCTTCAATGAGTAGATAGTACGCTCAAATAACAAAAATGTTCAGTGGTACCTAACCTAGGCCCAAAGGCAATAGGATGAGATAAAATGTTATGGGACGTCAGCTTGCAATTCTACCTACATTTGTCATTGAACTTGAAGGAGTTTATTTCTTAATGGACATACAGTGGTCTGCCCATTTAAAGAGTTCCATAATCTGAATAGGATCTATAGAGGCTAAACACTGGATAAGGAGATCATGTAGAGTGAATGAACAAGTGACACATGAGATTCGCTGTTTAATGTCACACCTGTAAGGTAAATACAGTACTATATTAGGTTGTTATAATGGAACAAAAAAAAACCCAATTGTTTGCATTATGTTGATGTACATTCTTGAAAGTATGTACTAAATTATAATCATTTTTCATTATTTTTCAGAACTGTCAATCTTGCAACAGTTACGATCTGCAACCGCCAAAAATTTTTTTGAGGAACTTTCAGTTACTGCTACAACGGGTAACAGATTTATTCATGTGATTTTATGTCCTTGGCATTTTGCCCTTTACTTTGCCTATGAACACAATTTGCTATTATGTTATCTAACCTTTTTTTCTGAACATATTTTGTTTACAGTTGAATTACTTGCAGAATATGAAGCCTACAATCACCCAGCCTCTATAATATGTCAAACAACTATACAACTGTAGATATTCTTCACTAATCAAGTTTTTGGTAGGAGATGTACTCTGAAATAACTCTATGGCTGAAATCTAGTATTAAGTCTTAAGTAGTGTAGGCTGTTGAATCACTGGAACTTACTAAATTCCCACTGATTGAATGGACCTACTCTAGTTGCAAATTGTGACTGGATTTCAGGTAGTATGTTATATATACACTTGGATTTAAAAGAATATCAGTATAATTTATTTATTCATATTGAAAGAAAAAGTATTTTTAAAACCCATGCTAAAACTCACATATTTTAATTACCTTCTGAATTCTTATAGCTATTTCCATAGGTATTTTAATCGTTTTAATAACTGAGTAATTCTCTTAAGATGTAACAAATCTTTTAAAAAAAGTTTCTGCTTCAATACTGTGAGTAATAAGCTAATTCCAGGGCTATCCACTATCATAAACAACTGCCTCTTGTACATTGGGTTGGAACTGGACTATTAGGTATATCATGTTTTTATAGAAAAATTTAGTCACATGATTTATAGAATATACTGCTTCTAAAGTAAGAGGAGCAAAGAAAATTATAAACTTACTCTTGACCTGTACTTCCAAACCACCTAGTAATCTACACCTAGTTTAACTCCCAATAGAGCAAACCCATTGACTCAGTGGAACTTACCCAAGTACAGTGGTGCCTCACTTTACGATCACTCCGTTTAACAACGAAACCGCATTATGACAAACTTTTTGCGATCGCTTTTCTACGTTTCCTATGGGGGAATTTCGCTTTGCGATGATCGGTTCCCTGCTTCGGGAACCGATTCTTCACAAAACGATGATTTTCTAACAGCTGATCGGCAGTTTCAAAATGGCCCCCCACTGTTTTCTGGAATGGATTCCTCGCTGCACAGGCACCGAAAATGGTTGTCCTATGGAAGATCTTTGCTGGACGATGCGTTTCCAGCCCATCGGAACACATTAAATGGGTTTTAATTCATTTCTATGGGCTTTTTAATTTCGCTTTATGACGTTTTCGTTCTACAACGATTTCACTGGAACGAATTAACATTGTAATGCGAGGCACCACTGTATTGGCTTACCAAGTCCACAATGGCTGAAATCAGGTAATGCAGTTCCAAGTGTGCAACAGGGGAGGACATCAGCAAATCACTACTGGATGAAGACAAACTGCTACTAATTAGAGGCTATTTTGAGGCGCACACAATTTGTGCACAATGCAAGGAATTCTCATGCTCCCCAAAACTGTGAAAGGAAGCCTTTAATGAGCAGTGACTGCTGTTGCTCCTGCTGCTCACATCATTCCTCTTGTGCTTGTGGAGTTGTGCAACATGCTCTCAGCCTATGATTTAATGGGTCTGCTATTGCTGGGACTATGAGTGACCACTAAACAGCAAAGTTTGAACCCTGCCATCTGTTTTATCCAGATAGATTGTATGCATGTGTACATAACATTTTCCTAGCGGCTTTCCATTTATAGCCAAAAGTTATTATTTACACACACACATAGCATTCATAAATGTATATTAGGGGCATGAATTCTACATTTGTACATTCTATATGAAAGTAGTATAAATATATATAAATCAAAAGGAAAGTAGGATTCATTCTTGTTCTTCCTTAAACTGAGCTTAATATGCTTCACATTAAACTATTTAAAATAAAACCAGATTTTATATTTATCTTGGATGAAACAGATTGCCATTGTAATATTATCCATTCTTCAGCTTGTCTGGCCATAGGTTAAAAGCATGTTCTTTTATATTTTAAGTAGCAGCATTAAAGCTGCATTTCTGTACTCACTTATTGAGCAGCAAAACCATAGAGTGGAACTTCTGACTAAATATACATAGACTGTACTATGCAAGTCAGAATTTATGCATATATTCTTCTTTGACTGTTAGAGACAGGAAGCTGCATTATACTGAGTTAGGCATTTGTCCACATAGACCAGAACAGTTAACCGTTGACTGGCAGCAACTTTCTAGGATTTCAGATAGAATACTTTTGTAGTCTTAGCTACAAATTCCCAGTATTTTATGGTGGTCTGTCATTCAAATACTAACCATGCCAACCCTACTTAACTTCCAAAGTCAAACACAACTGGCATGTTTTCAATGGTATGGTGACAAATATCCTAACACACACAGCACTAATACTACAGAAACTTGTAATGTGTCAGTTTTAGAATATTGCAATTTACACAGAGCAGATCTGAATGAAAATATGTGAAATAATCTACAAAAAATATGGTCTTGTTTATCTAAGCAAATTAAAACTGGATTGTTATATTGCTGAAATTTTGAAGACAGGATTCCTTCTTGCAGTCTCTGGCATTGGTGCTTTAATAAGAAGGAAGAAGAACTCAAGAAAAAAGCAAGATGAGACATGGCCAAGTTCAATTCATTTTCGTGTATAAATAGATCTGTAATACTGCAGGGGGCAGAAGAAAGTAGGAATTCCTGTAATCATCTGAGTTGAACAGCCCTATATATTTTTAAACTGTTACAAACAGTGGGAAATTAATTTTCTCCCAGGGAGGATTAAGAATATTTTATGATATCAGTCATAAATGTTATCAGTAGACATTTTAGTATGTGTTTTAACATGGCTTGGGTATTCATGTCCTAAAAACTATGAAATGTATTTTAATTTAATTAATATTTATTACCTGTACTGTGTGAAATTCAGGAATGTTGTTTATTTATTTGCCAAACTTATTTAAAAATCTGAAAATTAAAGGCTATTCAAATGATATATTTCTCACAAAGTGTCTCAATTTATTTTCCGAACTAATTTTCTCTGAAAATATATGTTACATAACATAATTCTAAAACCCTGTTCAATAGGTTATATTACATCCACAAATGTTTGATTCTTCTTCCTTCATTTACAAGCAAACTAAACTATAAATGCAGTCTACAAACGTGAATATGACATCCATTAACACCAGTGAAATAAATTAATGCCTTCTTTTTTTAACCAGGTAATACAGTTAACTATGCAAAATGCAAAATAAACAAACAAAACTGGTCCAAAACATCAAATTATTGTAAGATTGTGACAATTAATACTATCTGTCCTTCAATCTGACCAGATCAAACTTGAGTTTGTGCATGACAGCCATTTTGCTCTCCCTATATCCAAAATTGTTTTGCTCCTTCTCATTTTCCATGGTTTAGTGTTGCAGATTAGAATTGAGTTTATGGGGTGTTATCACCACTGCAGAGGCGCATGCACAAAGTGACAGTTTGGAAGGTGTCTCAATAGTGGATATTCAATGTCACAGTCTATGACAATTACTTCCTAAGACCCTTATACCAGCTTGTTATGTTTTGAGGCAATCTGTTACATCTGAAAAATCAGACTTACAGAGGAAGAACATACCTTTTCCCTGAAGACCAATCACAAAACAAAGGAAGTCAATTTGTAAATTACAGAGTGTGAGATACTGCTATTATGAAAATCATAGACCATCAGCACTTAATAAATGTCCTCTTCTACTAATGAGTTATCTGTAATTTTTATAGTTCAGTTTAAAGAAAGCTCGTTGTTATGTTCTCAGAAACACTTTTTGAGAAATAGCTCCTTTCTGGAGAACAATGGAATACTGGAGTTTAATCCTGGTATGTTTCAGTTACCTGTCTTTAACTACACTCAGGTTACGTATCTGTAAATATTTATTGATTTGATTTGTATCCCACCCCTCTGGTCTATACGACCACTCTAGGCACTCTCAAATATTAAAAAATGCCCCAAAGAAGCCTCTAGTGAGGGGTTCCAATGGAAAGTAAACCTGGGGAATGTATCTGTGAAGATTCTCAGGCATCCAGGTGAGGTTATCTGGAAGTTGAGTCATGGCAAACGGACTTCTTCCTAATTGCGGAAAGGGCCCTCTCCCAGCTGGGAAAGGTAAAGGTAAAGGTTCCCCTTGACAATTTTTGTCCAGTCGTATTCGACTCTAGGGGGTGGTGTTCATCCCCGTTTCCAAGCCATAGAGCTTGGAATCTTCCGTGGTCACATGGCCAGTACGACTTAGACACGGAACGCTGTTATCTTCCCACTGAGGTGGTCCCTATTAATCTACTCGCATTTGCATGCTTTCGAACCGCTAAGTTGGCGGGAGCTGGGACAAGCGACGGGAGCTCACTCCATTATGTGAATTCGATCTTACGACTGCTGGTCTTCTGACCCTGCAGCACAGACTTGTGCGGTTTAGCCCACAGCGCCACCATGTCCCTTATGTTGGGAAAGCAAACAGTAATTCAAATATCACATGGCTAGCACGTGATTCTGAATCCCTTTCATTTACAATACTGTATATTGCACCAATGTCCACAAATTAATTTCAGAAGCACTAATGTACAAAACTACAGTGGTGCCTCGCTTAACGATGAAATCACATAGCAATTTGTTTTTTGTGATTGCAAAAGCGATCGCATTACGACGATTTACATGGGAAAATATCGCTTTGCGATGATCGGTAAGCTGTTTCGCTTACTGATTTTCGCATAGCGATGTTTTCCCAACAGCTGATTGGCGGTTCCAAAATGGCCACCGGGTAAAAAACATGGCTGCCCGCTGTGTTTTGGGATGGATTCCTCGCATATCGGGCAGCGAAAATGGCCGCCATATGGAGGATTTTCGCTTAAAGTTAATTTTTTTCCCATAGGAATGCATTGAAGGGGTTTCAATGCATTCCTATGGGCTTTTAAAAATCGCTTAGCGATGTTTTCGGTTAGTGGCGATTTTTGCTGCACCGATTAACATCGCTAAGCGAGGCACCACTGTACTTGTAAAAATTTTAGGCAACACTGTACTGCTCTCTAGTGTTTGTTTCCCAAAAATAACACTTGTGAGAAGGTAGTGGAGACTTATAGCAACCCAAATAGGGCTTTCAAAGTAAGTGAGATATTTAAGGAGAATTTTACCAGTTTCACAGACCCAGTGAGCTTTCATGGCTGAGCAAAGATTCAAAGGCAGGCTTCCCAAGGCCACACTGGGTAGTGACCTAAAAATGTTTTGTGGGAATACAGGATTACATGTAATAAAGCCTAGAGTGGCTGCAATAGCCGCGCAGAGTGGTAGAATATACCAGATGGGCGGGATATAAATCAATCAAACAAACAAACAAACAAACAAACAAATAAGACTTTGCTATGCCCTTCCAATTGCTTATTTTAAATTGAGACATGTTTTCACAAAGTTCTTAATTTTAAATTATTGTGTTTTCAAAAAAGGGAACTCTTCTTATGGTAAAAGAGAGATTAGAAAGATGATGGTAATGGAAGTGATGGTGGTATGGATGATAACATAGAAGTGGGGAACATGATCTAAAAAGTCACAATGGGGGCATGATTGTAAAATATTTGGCAACTACCACTGCAAAAAGTGGAGGATTAAATGATAAACCACTTCTGAGTATTTTGTACCTAGCAAACGCTAACAGGGTGAGCATAAGCTGGAATTGACTTGACAGTATATTATTATTTTTTATTGTTAAATAATTCTGTAAGGTAGACCTAAAAGGCCAAATCTTTTTATCAGTTTATAACACTAAAAGCTATATATTAAGACCAAGTAGGTGGCTTTATGTACTGGATTTTCCTAGTTTATTTCGGGTTTTGTGGGTCTAAAATCTTATCAGGAAGGTTTCAGTAAGAAAAAAAACAGGTAATGATGATACATAAAGCTACCTTCTTCCTTACAGGCTTT